GAAATCGGACTAAAATAACGGCCGCTTCTCATATAACGGTAAATTTCAGAAATGCTTGAAACTTCAATATTTCGAAATTGAAGGACGCTAATTTACTCAAAATTGATACACCCCGGCTTACCATCTAGCGGAAGGTTTCGGAAAGGTGAAAAAACATATATTTAATACTTTACTTGTTAATTTATGCTTTTCTTAAACTATCGTATTTTAATTTTGAAATTTGGGGTTGATATTCCTCAAATGAAATATAGTTGTTTTTTTATTTAATCGACAATCACTTCCGCTTTAAAGCTTATCGGTGTGCCCATCAGTGGGAGAAAGCCCTTGCATGGGTCCTAATTAGTTTCCTCGTCTATTTGTTTGCTATAGAATTTTTTTGTTGACTAAAGTGTATAGACAAATTCAAGATTGTGTAACAAAGAGTTTGTTTTCTTTTCTTTTAAAATAGTCCTTCTTTCGAGGTTCCTTGCATTTCCTAGATGTCGCGGACAGCTACGTAAAGAATTTTCTTTTAAACCTCGAAATGAAAGGGAGTAAAACTTTTAACCTAAAATATATGCATTTATAAGATTCCGCTTAATATTTGAAGGAGAGGTGTGCTGATTTATTACACAGTTAACTTTTTCTTCTTCTTGAGACCTTATACCTGGATCTAACGCATAACGGTGTGTGGGTTTCCGGTTACTATATCAAAATTGGATAGTTGTGGGATTTTTGATTTCATGACCAATTACATCTGCTTTGGTCGAATGTTTATAGTAGAAATTGGAGATGATGAATGCTAGATAAACATGTACCTTTCCTTGATACCAGACACCTAATTGAACCACAGGCACTTCAATGATGGATGACAGCGAAGGTGCTGGTATTTATGGTCTTATTACCAAATTTTCAATTCCAATGAGCAGCTGACCCACGGCGTTTCGAGTGGGAGTATTAGCAGCCCTAAACTGTGAAACCGAATTAAAGAAAAAGTAACTACATATTTGTCTTTCAAATACCACAGCGGACGGTGAGGCTCTTTCCAATATGATGGTCAAATCCAATCTAGCTAAAGATTCACTTGATATACTTAGTCTTTTGTCAGCAACATTAAAGGAGACGGAAACTGCGAAGTCATGATTAAAGGGACACGAAAAAGATCTTTAATTCTTTGTGGGTCAGGGACCCTGTTGTGGTAACAGGTGGCCTCCTTCGAGAGTTATAATTACGTGGTTATTAAACTTAGAATGCCATAAGTATTTGGGATCGGCAAAGGCTTAAGCCATCTTGGATTTTCGGCTTTATTTTTTGATAGGAAGGCTATTGTTCCATTGAACCAGTTTAGCAAGTCATAACAGATACAGTTTCCACAGGAACCGAATCGGTGCAACCACACCGAACGCCGGCTCTGTCTTGAAGGCAAAGAGACTCCAATGAACATTTTACGATTATTCGGATCGAAAGATCGAACCTTTTATAGTAAAGAATTCGCCTGCCATTGGATTGGATATTGGATTTTCTTTTTGATGCTGCTCGGACCAGAGATCGCAGCCTGGATATACGGAGTGGTGCAAGGCACCTCTAACCTTGCAGCCTCAGCGGATATAAGTATATATTAGGGCAATTTATCTATACGCATTTAGATGAATGCGCATAGTATAACAAAATAAACAAACAGCTTTGAAACTTGCATGGTAAATACTAAAAATAAAATACTAATAAAAAATGGTCACCCCTATTGCAGCAGATATGCTCGCATGCTTGTATGGCATTGAAAAAAGTATCTGCATACATTGCTCGTATCCTACAATGCAAATATAATTTATTATTTTCTTTTCACTTGTGGGTGTAAACACATATTAAGCAATGTAAATCTATAACAACAGCAACACATTTAATTCAGAACTTAAACAATTGATAAAGATCTATGCACGTCCAGTTCATTGATTTTATGAATAAGTTGCACTTCAAGGCAAAAGAAAAAATAAAAAAAAAGAGATAGAGTGGTGACAACTGTAAAACCAGCTCAGCAGGACCAGTCACGATGCTGGTCTGTCACTTGTTGGTGACACAACTTGCTCTAGTTAGATATTTCTTTACCATTTATATGAACACGTTTTTAGTCGATTTTTATTTACAGTTGACGGTTTTCAATATCTTTAGAATGTATTGTCAGGTAAGTAAACAAGTTTAGATTTCTTTACATTTAAATATGTCTGTGTAAATCCTTTTATTTACTGCTGCTTTTTTGACACATTTTTTGATGTCGTTATAAAGTATCCATTTTGTTGGTCAAGCCAGATTTCTTGCAATCTACTTTTGTAGTTATTTGTTATTTTTTAAAAATTATTAGCTAAAAGCTAAAAAAGTCGTTAATTTATGAGTTAATTAATAAAAGAATACTTTAAGTGCCAGAAATTTAATTTTAAATATTTTTTTGGATTGACCTTATTCTAATAACAGCTTTAAGATGATCTGGCTGTGATTCCACAAGTCTTTGGGCATAGATTTTCTCGATTGTTGGCTATTCCTCTAGAAGGAAATTTTTTAACTGATCCTTTGGGCTAACGTAATGAGATGAGATCCTTTTCACAAGCATATTCAACATATGCTCTATGGGATTGAGATCAATATATCCTAACAACTTTGCTGGTGGTCACACCAGCAATCGAACCTAGCTGCTACCGTTCAATTTTATGTATCCCTAACGACTAGGCTGCAGTGATAACTTTAGCTATAGAGTAGAAAAAAATAATTACATTTGCTAAAATTAGAATAAAATATTTTGTAGATATTTTAAAGTGAGTGTACTTACGATAAGAATGTGAACAGGCAATACAAATCTGACACAACGGGCAGAAGTGCATTAATCAAACTCATTTGTTGTGCCACTTTCATAAGGTGATTGCAGTTAATGTAACCCGATTAACAGTTTAAGTAGTTTTCCCACAATTAAAACATCATTTTTATTACCTAGCACATAGGAAAATAAAACAAATTAGGCTTAATAATAAAATTAGTAACCGTGAAAATATAAACCTATACTAACAGCAAATTATTACTGGAACAAATAGTTGAATTTGCACAAATTACAAATTACAAAATTACAGTCAATAAAATTTTAAACAAAAGTAACAATATATACACTCAAAACTAGTGGACGTAATTATGCTCGTAATTTACCAATTACAATCGGGAGTTACCAGAGTATTTTTTTTATTATTATTTTTAAACGCGGTCATTGACTACCGGCGATAGACAAGCGGACAAACGGATTTACAGAAAAAAAAGCTAAATAATTTAATAGCCAGAGCCCAGTGGTTTCAAATATGTGTTTATACCGACGTATTTATGTATGTATGTATGTGTATTTACACTACAGTTCTATAATTTGTGTGACCGGCTGCGCATGCTGGCAGTGAACTCACACATACATACGTATATACATAGTACATGCAGTTTCCCACAATTAAGTGGTTTCCACTTTTTTTTTAAACCATTCTTGTCGACATTGTTTCTGTAAGTATTTGTTGTTGTTACTGTAAATAACGAGGCGAAAATATTTGGAAAACTTTAATTTGAACAAAAAGCGCTTGAGATGGTGAATAAGTAGATTTGTGATCATTAGCTTTGTTGAGCAACTAAATATCGTTCAATAAGTAGCATGCAATTATTTAAATAGATTAAGCAAAGTTTTGAGAATGAAAAATGAAAATGAAAAAATGGTAAATTTTAAACTAGTCTTGAGTATGAATGATAGTAATTTGTTACATATATGTATATGTACATAAGATAAATTAGAAAAAAATGTTCATCGAACTGCCTTACCTAGCCTAGAATAAGAATGCAAAATTTGTTTTTTAGCCTTGAAAATAATCTGTTAGCTAAAATGTGTATATCACAATAATAATGAACAAACTCATCACAATATCTACTACACAGTGCAACAAATTTCAAAGAGTGGCAGGAGATAGGAACTAGACCAATTGTTGAATGCAGTTTTTAAAAGATGGGCAGCCCTCCTGCATAGAGTCGCTCCTTCGCGGGACATTGCGATACATATTTTAATTAACTGATGAATTAAGTGGAATTTGATTTTTCAGACATGTAGCAACTCCGCTAAATACAGTTAAGAAAAAAAAAATTTATTTATCGATTGATACCCATATTTTAGTAATTCATTTAACTTATTAAATAATTTGAATTTAACTTTTTAAACCCTCTTCCAACACCTTAAAACTATTCTTAGCGTTTAAACTAAAGATTTCTTAACACTGCTTCGCTTGAAACTCATATTTTTGATATTTCTCATATCTTGTGTATCAGGTGGCAACGCTCTTCAAAATATTTTCAAACTACTACCTGCTGAAACCGCTTTCGTTTGGAACCCATATGGTGACACATATTTTTCTTACCTAATATGATTTTTTAAACAGGTGGCAACCCATATATAATTCTGCTAAGTAACAAGGCTTCTTAAAAGAATTTCGATTGATACCCATTTTGTAGTAATTGATTCATTTTTTTTTAATGATTTGAATATAATTTTTTAAAAGGTGGCAACTCCTTTGATATAACAATGCATTTCGGAAGATCAAACGATGGCATGTTACATGTTAGCATTGATTATTAAATAATTTGAGTTTTATTGTTCAATAGGTGGCAACTCTTTTCGCAAAACTAAAACCAGTTTGCACACCTACAGACCAAGCGCTTTAATTTTGCATCTGCTTTTCGAAAATCGAGTGAATGGTAGAGATCTTTTGTCCTGGGGAAAAAATCCCTTCGCTTAGTACTTATCTATATATGTATAAATCGATAACATTCTAGAGGTGTCTGAACATTTTTGTAATAAAAAATTAGCTAATTTCCAAAAATGTCGTGCCTTAAAATTGTGCACTACGTATATTCCCAAAATGAAAGTTATTTCTATCACTGACTGATAAAAATTGTGTATTGTTATTACTATGAATTATTAAGTATGAATTAATCAAATTTTTTTTGCACCCTGCTTACCATTATTTTCAGATTATAGTTTTTTGAAAATTAAGTTTTTAAACAAATAATTTACAACTAGGCACCCTAGCACCAACAACTTGGCTAACTTTCAAATTAATTTTAGATTTTTTCTTTTACGTTGCCTACTAAAATCACCATAGCATATTTCTTTAAACTTTTCTATGAAAACAATGAAGTAATTAGACGTGTTTGGCAGCCGCCGCATCTAACTGCACAAAATTGATTGATGCGCTTTTTCCAAGCTCAATTATGACATTAAATTTTAAAAATGTCTGTGAAATTTTTATAATAAGCGGTTCGCTCAGATAAACAAGCATATACTAAATGTTTATGCCTGCGTGATTGCTGCCACCTGGCCATATACATTTATTTTGCTTGTATTTTACGTAATTGGAATAAGACCAGCTGTTGAGTTATAAATAAGTGCTGAAGTAACTGCTACAATGCGTTGTAGATTAAGTACGGTAGCATATTTAAACGACTGCCGGAAAAATGAGTCATGATAGAGATAGTACATATAATATAAACAAAAGACTTTGGACGCGAACCTGCGCCACCAAGATGATTCACATGTGCATGGAAATAAGAGTAAATTTGGCTAAAAAACCATGACGAATTATAAATCTTTATTGTTTTAGTTTTATTAATTTAGGGCAGGCTGTTTTTTAGTTGTGTAAAATATTGTAAAAGCAATAAAAATTTGATATTCACGTTTCAACAACAATCCAGCCGCTTGCATGCATTTAGACAGCCAGTAGAAGTACCTACACATGTGTACTGAAGTATGTACTCCGTATTACCAAACGTTGCCAATGCTAACCCAAATTCAATTTCATGTGCCAAGATAGATGCCAACGAGAGATATAACATAAAAAATTATTATAAAAATTTACTTGTGTAGGTGCCTGAATATATGCACATACATACATACATAAATAAGTATCTGCCATCTTAGAATAGGAAAGACTCGTTCAATGGCTTCCCATTCGCACTCTTGCCACATACTTTTATATGTATGTATGCATGTGTATGTATGTCAGCATGAAGGAGATCAAAAGCTACAGATATGTTATGAGTGGCCGTGTGGTCTGCACAACGGCTAGCCATCTGTCTGTTTCGACACAGTTACGCTGCACTGAACGCAGTCGTTAAAACCAGAAATCTTCAAAAGTTGAAAGCGAAGGCCAATGCAGAAAATAATGGAAATTTCACTTTTGAATGATTTCTTGGAATTCTATATATAATTTAAACTTCAACTTCAGTCCACTTTGCCGGTAAGTACTTATGTGGTAATTGTCTGTTTGTTATTATAGGTTGTGTGTTGCCGAAGTTTGAAAATGAAATGAAAGTAAGATCACATTTTGTAAAGTTATAATGAACAGTTTTTTTTTGAGAGCTCTTTTATTCTTACTAAATTTCCAAAAAATTAAGATAATAAATGATGAAAGGAAAGAAGTATAAAATTGAAGGTAATTAATGAAAAAATATTTTGTAGTGAATGAAATATTAAATGAAAGGATGGAAAAGAAAAAAAAAATACTAATCAAAATGAATGCATTATTATGGAAGTAATGATAGACAAGTAACTGCCTAAATTCAATAATGTTTATCTACTTACTATTTTTAGAATTCAATATTTTTAGTATGTTAGTTAGTAGTTACTTTTTCCAGCAGCACTCACTAAAAAACTAATTATTATTTTTTTAATTTAAATATACGTTTTTTGTCAGCCGCTGTAGCCGAGTGAGGCCTGGTTTCGATCTTTGGCAAAGCTCTTTTTCGGCAGACTATAGCAAACCTCCGTGTGTATTTTAGTCATAAAACCGCTTCTCATAAAAACCATTTTCCGCTCGGAGGCGGCGTAAAGTTTTATGATTAAGACGCACATCACAAATTAGAAAGGGCAAAAATGTACGCCGCCAATGTAGTACATTATTTTATTTTGATAATTTTAATAGTGAGGTGGCGCATAGAAAGCATACTTTAACCTCAAAATTGTAAGTATTTATCCTAGGAGTGCCAGTTACTGTCGAAATTCGAAAATTTTTCTAGTTTATCAAGAGCTTTGAAGAAATTTTCCAACTTAGCATGTCGTTTAACTTATAAAGTACAAGACTACTTACCGGAAAAACTTCTGCTTTGGAACTAAAACATCTTTGAAGGTCTTTGGAGGAAAGATGATATTGAACCGATACACTGCAGCTAAACGATAGATTTCGACAATTTGATACATATCGATAATTCGATGAATTAAAGAATTATTAAAATCCGAAAGCTCTACAAAATTCGATAACTCGACTAATTTCGATAAATTTCTTAGCTGTATGTCTCGTGGGCTGGATATATTTCGATAACACAAAAATATATTCACCTCGATATATGTAAATCGATAAATTGATAAACTTTAGATATATTTATAAGTTTCGATGACTTGGTTACTTCTGATAGCCTCATAGTTTCCGAAAGCTATAGACGAATTTCGATAGCTCGTTACACTCTGGCAACTCGATAAAATTTGATGTGCAGCGATAACTCGACTCGAATTGACTAATTTCGATAATCACATACATTTTTATAGCTCAATAACTCTCCGTAAATTTCGAGAACTAAATCTATAAATTTCGATAACTAAATAACATTTTATCATTTGTTTCTCCGTCATCACATTTACCTTTATTACAAAGTTTAATTTCAGATACGAAGTAAAACAAAATGCAAAAGCAACTCCAATTGCAACAACAACTATACACAAATTTTTACACGACGATTTTAGCCAAGATTTTCAACAGATTTTGAAACCTAAAAAAATCTTCTCATCTTTGGAAAAATACCATTCAAATGGTTTTCTTTTTGGTTTCAATCAGTCCAGTAGAAGCGCCAACCGAAGGCGGAGAAAATTTATTTTAGCGTATTTATGATAGATATTGCTTTAATATTTCTGAAAA